AGCCAGAGCTGTGTGTGTGTGTGTGTGTGTGTGTGTGCATGTTTATGTGGTTTATGAGGTCACAAATTTGTATAATAACATGGGTATGACATAGGTATTACAATGAGAAGGTGATTTATGAGGACATTTTCAGTGTCCCCGTAATTCAAAAGGCTTATAAATAATTCAGAATTCGTTTTTTTGAAAATCTAAAAATGCACAAAGTTTCCTGTGAGGGGTAGGTTTAGGGGTAGGGTTGGTGTAGGGCAATAGAAAATACGGTTTGTACAGTATAAGAACAATTACGCCTATGGAGAGTCTCCATAAACCATAAAAACAAACCAGTGTGTGTGTGTGTGTGTGTGTGTGTGTGGTCTGATGATCTGGATGTGTTTGTCCTGCAGGTTGGGATCATGTGTTTGATGAGGAGCAGCAGGAGGAGCATGATCAGTGCAGGTAAGCTGCAGACTTTAGTGGGATCTGCTGTAGAAAGTGACCCGCTTCAGTGTGCGTCTGCTTTCTCCGCTAGACGGTTCGCTCAGACGGTTCAGCGGGTCCGGTCAGGGGTTCAGCTCTACCAGCAGGTTCTGTTTCTCCGCGGCACCGGCATGATGAACTTCATCACTCAGCTCAACTGCATCGCCGACGAACTGGACAAGACGGTGAAGAAGACGCGCATCGCGGGCATCACGGGCGGCACCACGGGGGCCATCGGAACGGCGGTTATACTAGCGGGCATCGCTCTGGCGCCCGTGACCCTCGGAGCCTCGCTGGCCGTGGCGGGGATCGGCGTCGGTGTGGCGGCGGCTGGAGGCGTCACCGGAGCGTCAGCCGCCATCAGCAAGAAAGTCAGAAAGACTCAGGACCGGAGGAAGGTGGAGAAGATCCTCCGGAACTATCAGAGCCAGATGGAGGACGTGGAGGAATGCCTGAAGTTCATCATCAGCGGCATGGAGCACCTGAGGAGGCCGGAGCTCGCGTCGCTCGCGGTCGACGCTGGCGCAAGAGACGCGCTGAAGCTGGCGGAGCGGCTCGGAAACTCTGACGTCATCGACGCGCTGAGCGAAAACACTCGCGTCGTGCAGGCGTTCGCCGCGGATCTGGACTCGTTCTTCACTAAAGAAGACGCGCAGAGGCTGAAGAGAGGCTCGGAGAGCGTGTTCGCCGCTAAGATCCGAGAGGTGGCTCTGAAACTCAAAGAGAACATCGACCAGCTCATACGCATCAAAAACATGCTCTGCTGGGGGTCTCAGTGCTGAAGAGCCCATCAAACGACATGCTTCCATCTGGTTCCATGAAGAACTTCCACAGATGGTTCTTTAGTTAAAATGTTCTTTGCACAAGAACTGGTCACTGAAAGGTTCTTCTGGCGTCACTGTGAAAACATGCTGTATTTTATGACACTTTCTCATCATAAGGAGCTTTCTGTTGGACACATTTTGGATTCACCCCGGTTTGGGTTTTTGCAGTGATGCCACAGAAGAAATTTTTTGGTTCATCAAAGAACTTTAGTATGGAAGCCCGTTTCTGCCACTGAATAAAATAAAAAAAAAAGTAATTGCGACTTTTTATCTCACAATTCTGACTTTTCTTCGCACAATTGCATGATACAAACTTGCGATTCTGAGAAAAAAAGTCAGAATTGCGAGATAAAAAGTAGCAATTAGTTTTTTTATTTTTCTTTCAGTGGCAGAAACGGCCTTCCATACTCTTCAGTTATGGAACAAACTTTTTTTTTCTTAGTGTGAATGACATAAATAAAGAATCCACTATAAAGAATCTTTTGTGGAACGGACAGGTTCTTCATCTTCATTTTAAGAGCTGTTTTATAGTATCTTATAGTAGCACACAAACGTAAAGATGCTCTCAAAGCTACATGTGAACTCAAATCAAATGTTTAAATCTCATGCCATTAAAGCAGTCCTTACTGGTTCTTCAAGTTTAAGTAAAGAATCTCCTTTATTTTCTAAAGCATTTAAACTATGAATTCCCAAATAAACCGACTCATGATGTTTGTAAACGCTTCTTTGTGTTGTAAGTGAAAGTGTTTTAACAGATGCCTGATGATTGAGTGCCATGACGGCTTTAGAGCTGATCTGTCTCACACTTCTGCAGACAGACAGAAACACAGCCGTGAGCATTAAACATCTGCAGACGATGGACGACGTAAGTGATTCTAAAACCTAAAACGTAATTCTAAACCTGCAGGTGTCTGTGTATTCCATACAGTTTAATTCCATGTGTTTCCACTGCCAAGGATAATTAATATGACGGATCTGTGATGATAATATGTGACCCTGGAGCACAAAACCAGTCATAAGGGTCAAGTTTTCGAAATTGATATGTATGCATCATCTGAAAGCTGAATAAATAAGCTTTCCATTGATGTATGGTTTGTTAGGATAGCACAATATTTGGCTGAGATACAACTATTTGAAAATCTGGAATCTGAGGGTGCAACAAAATCTAAATATTGAGAAAATCATCTTTAAAGTTGTTCAAATTAAGTTCTTAGCAATGCATATTACTAATCAAAAATTAAGTTTTGATATACTTACGGTAGGAAATTTACAAAATATCTTCATGGAACATGATCTTTACTTAATATCCTAATGATTTTTGGCATAAAAGAGAAATGTATAATTTTGACCCATACAATGTATTGTTGGCTATTTCTACAAATATACCCCAGCGACTTAAGACTGCTTTTGTGCTGCAGGGACACATATTAGAATGTCATGTTATATGTCTAGTATGTTTACTATATTAGCATGAGTACCACTTTGGTAATTTACAAAAGCCAAATGTGTCATATTTTCAATGAAATACTGATTACAAACTAAAAGAGAAGAAGAAAACCCAAATGAATCCAAACTACAAATTCACACTTTTATCGCCGGGGTTTCATTCTGATGGGCTTTAGTTCATTGGGCTCACTGTGTTTTTCGAGACCCTGAAGTTCAGGTTCTTCCAGTGGTTTTGAGACGCATGTCGTTCTGAATGATTTCTGATCTGTTCTTCAGCATTCTGCTCCTAAACCTGCTCCTCGATTGGCTCCAGGGCCACGCAAGGTGAGAACAAAAGCAATCGTCATCGATTATCATCAGCATGTTTAAGAATTGGTCAAGCCTAACAGATTAGGATGATAGTTTTAGGCAGCGAATGACTGTGAAAGTGAAAGACTGAATGATGAGTGATCAGATGAAGGAGCAGTTAAACCGGTCTTTCTGTGCACTGAATCACTGTCTCAGACCTGAAGATGTTGGTGCTTCTGGTTGCAGTCGGTTTGTGCCTAGCAACGCCCCTTAGCTGTTCTAAATTCACTGTACACCACGGCTTCACGGGGGTTATTGCTTTTATAAAACGGTTATTCCATATACGTAGTAAGGTTTCACAAAATAAAACAGAGCAAATAAAGTGTAATGATATTAATAAAAACAGTATTCTTCCACCAAACAATGTAGTTCCTCAGAAACAGTTGTGGTTGCTACAAAGTGGTTGCCGAGCAACACACAAATGTAAACAAAGGTGTATGTTACTTTGTAGAGTGATTTACAACAGCTTTGAACGCGGCTCAGCCAATCAGAACCAAGCACCGGAACTCTCCGTTTTATAAATGAAAGAAAAGCTCAGTTCCTCTACAACTAGCTGAATACTATTGAGTTTCTTGTGCATCATTACTGAAAGGATCTGCTTTGTTTTTCCACATTGAAGAGAGAGAATGTGTATGAGAAACGCGTGGTTCCTCCACTTCCACAACCGAGGACTAAACCCGAAACCGGAAGCCCTCGAGAGCTCATTTCACGCTGTTCTGAGGTACATACAAACATGATTAAAGCACACAACCCATAATGCCTATTCATGAATAAATACTGATATTTTGAAGTGTTAAATCATGACTTTTCATCCCAGCATTGTGTGTTTCCATCTCAAAATGCAGAAGGATGTCATTTTCAAAGCAGATCTGGAGGATCATTTGAGTAAACGATTTCAGAACAGCGAGCCACAGGTATAAACTCCGTCTGAGTGCCATTTACCTTCCTTAGACATTTTCTTGTGATTCTACAACTCTGATAAACCTTGATTCAGTCACAGACCATCGTTCATCAGATCAAGTGTCGTTTCTCTTCAGAAATGCTGCTTTTCATCTGGGTGTGTTTTAGTGGATTCTGCTCACAGGTGTAGAGAGCCACAGTAACTATAGCAACATCCTCCACTAACTAACCACAGACGAACACGATACAAAGATGCTGTTGATCCAGCATCTCAAACATCTACAGTGCATCTTCTCTTTATAATAAACAACACTTGATTTGGTGTTTAAAGTGTGACTGAAGTGTCAGAATAATAAAGACTGAAGCTTTGCTCTCTTTCCAGCAGGAAAAGAAATGCTTTCGGATGGGAAACACTTCGAGTAAGAGATAATCTTGTAATCTTTATTTATAAGGCAGTGCCAGCTGTACCTGTTAGCGGAAGCATCAAGGACCACAATGGAAACAAGTTTACTTTGAACTTTATTGTGTTATTATCCTTGACGAGTGTGTTTCGCTACTTTTCTGTCTAATAATAAAACAAGACAAATTACACAAAATACTGCATGTGACATTTTAATGCCTTTATTGAAATGACATTAATGTCTTTGTCTGTTATTTGAGTAGAGCCTTTATGGGGCTGTTTTCCTGCAACTTTTCAAGTTGGCATCATTTATTTTTTCTTTCAATTTCCACACTTTCTGTCACTAAGACATTGAAACAGAATTGTTTTTGTTTCTGTCAGGAGAATCTACAGTGGTTTCAGATTCAGACTTCAGGTAAAGTGGATCCGGACAGGGATCCGTACAAATACACACATTCTTCATCTGTAACATACACTACCGCTCAAAAGTTTGGGATCAGAATGATTTTTAATGTTTTTTACAGGAGTCTCTTCTGCTCATCAAGGCTGCATTTATTTGATCAAAAATACAGGAAATAATGTGATATTGTAAAATATTATTATGATGTAAAATAACGTTTTTCTATGTGAATATGTGTTAAACTGTAATGTATTTCTGTGATGCGCAGCTGTATTTTCAGCATCATTACTCCAGTCTTCAGTGTCACATGATCTTCAGAAATCAGTCTAATATGCTGATTTATTATCAGAGCTGGAAACTGTTGCTGCTTCATATTGTTTTGGAAGCTGTGATACTTTTTTCAGGATTCTTTGATGAATAAAAAGTTAAAAAGAAGAGCATTTGTTCAAAACCGAAATCTTACAGTTCAACTACACTACCGTTCAAAAGTTGGTATATTTTTATTCTTTCTTTTTTTGAAAGAAATTAAAACTTTTATTCAGCGAGGATGTGTTACATTGATAAGAAGTGATAGCAAATATTGATATTGTTAGAAAAGATTTATATTTTGAATGAATGCTGTTCTTTTTAACTTTTTATTCCTCAAAGAATCCTGAAAAAAGTATCGCAGTTTCCAAAAATATATTGTGGCAGCACAACTGTTGATAATTCTAATAATAAATCAGCATATTAGAATGATTTCTGAAGATCATGTGACGCTTTATACTGGAGGAATGATGCTGCAAATACAGCTGCGCATCACAGAAATAAATTATATTTTAAAGGATATTAAAATAGAAACCATTATTTTATATTGTAATAACATTTTGCAAGATTACTGTTTTTTCTGTATTTTTGATCAAATAAATGCAGCCTTGATGAGCAGAAGAGACTTCTTTAGAAACATTACAAGTCTCACTGATCCCACACTATTGACTGGTAGTGTATATATACAAAAATATACATAAAAAGTGGTACAGATTGATTAATTCAGCCATCTGTTGTAACAGCAGGACGAGAACATTCTTCATTTCTGCTTCATTTGTCTTTTGTCTCTGCAGGTCCTTCATGCACACTGGTGAAAGTTTCACAAACACTCTTCAGCTCTTTGTTTCTCATCTGCCAAGCTGTAAAAGCGCTCTAGAAAGACAGATTACGGAGCTGCAGGAAGTGGCTGATGGTGTGGATAAGACGCACAAAGGCGTGAAGATCGCTGGCATCACCGGAGGAGCCACAGGAGCGGTGGGCGGCGCGGCGGCCGTGGCCGGGATCCTCCTGTCCCCCGTCACTCTGGGAGCGTCTCTGGCCATCACGGTGGTCGGGGTCGGGGTCGCAGCCGCTGGCGGGGTCACGGGGGCCTCGGCCGCCATCACCAACAAAGTCAAGAAAAATCAGGTCAGGAAGAAGGTGGAAACAATCTTAAAGGAGTGCTAGAGTGAGATGAAGGACGTTGAACGTTACTTGGATACCATCAGCACAGAGATGGGAAAACTCTGAGAATATGAGCTGCTGACGCTGGAACGCGTGAATGTGAAGTCCGCAAAGATCGTGCGGCTCGTCAGGATAGCAGGAGGAACATCGACGGCGCAGAGCGTGATGAGCCGGTCCTCAGGCGTGATTCATGGCTTTGCCGTCGGCATGGATCTTTACTTCACCAGACAAGATTCAGAGAAACTCAAGAAAGAGTCAAAGACCAGATTTGCCCAGCAGATCCGCAAGGTGGCAGAGCAGCCTTACAGAGCTGATGGACACGAGAGAGAAACTGCTCTCAGAAGAGATATGAGGAACGGTGTTAAAATATGGTGAAGGAAAGGGTTGTTTCTTCATTTGGTGTTTGTTGCTCTCTTGAAGACATGTGTTCTTGTGTTGTATTCAGAATAATACAAAGATCTTCCTGAGACTGAATCACTAGAATATTTTGAGCATTTCATGTGCAGTGCTGGGGAAAGTTACTTTTTAAAGTAATGCATTACAATGCGTCTCTGGCCATCACGGTGGTCGGGGTCGGGGTCGCAGCCGCTGGCGGGGTCACGGGGGCCTCGGCCGCCATCACCAACAAAGTCAAGAAAAATCAGGTCAGGAAGAAGGTGGAAACAATCTTAAAGGAGTGCTAGAGTGAGATGAAGGACGTTGAACGTTACTTGGATACCATCAGCACAGAGATGGGAAAACTCTGAGAATATGAGCTGCTGACGCTGGAACGCGTGAATGTGAAGTCCGCAAAGATCGTGCGGCTCGTCAGGATAGCAGGAGGAACATCGACGGCGCAGAGCGTGATGAGCCGGTCCTCAGGCGTGATTCATGGCTTTGCCGTCGGCATGGATCTTTACTTCACCAGACAAGATTCAGAGAAACTCAAGAAAGAGTCAAAGACCAGATTTGCCCAGCAGATCCGCAAGGTGGCAGAGCAGCCTTACAGAGCTGATGGACACGAGAGAGAAACTGCTCTCAGAAGAGATATGAGGAACGGTGTTAAAATATGGTGAAGGAAAGGGTTGTTTCTTCATTTGGTGTTTGTTGCTCTCTTGAAGACATGTGTTCTTGTGTTGTATTCAGAATAATACAAAGATCTTCCTGAGACTGAATCACTAGAATATTTTGAGCATTTCATGTGCAGTGCTGGGGAAAGTTACTTTTAAAAGTAATGCATTACAATATTGCGTTACTCCATGAAAAACTAACTAATTACGTTACTTAGTTACTTTTTGTGGAAAGTAATGCGTTATGCTACTTTTGCGTTACTTTTTAAATCTGGACAGGGCTTGCTTGTTTGTTTTTTAAAATAAAAAAGTTATATTTTTGGCAAATATAAAAGCCTTTCACACCAAAAGTGAAATGAATAAGCCTCAGGCTGAAGGGAAAGTAAGTTTACGTTCGTACAGTAGAATGCAGAAGAAATTTCAACACACTTCAGCAATAAAAAAACTTTAAAGCTTTGTGAGCGAGATGAATTAATGCATATTCATATTTATTTTAGAACTACAGTAACATCTTCTGATTTCTCTCAACATGGGGACAGGAGAGCTGTCAGTCAATACATTGAAAAAAACAAAAGTAACTTGCGTTACTCATTTGAAAAAGTAACTCAGATATTCTCTTGTAAATTAAAAAGTAATGCGTTACTTTACTAGTTACTTGAAAAAAAGTAATCTGATTACGTAACTCGCGTTACTTGTAATGTGTTACCCAACACTGTTCATGTGTGACCATTCTTTCTCCATTCCATAATGAATAATCAGATCACAAGCAGGAAAAACGAAACGATTGTCATTTCATTCATGTTTACACTAGAGGTCAGACTTCTTCAGTTTCTTATAACTCTATTTTACTCTTGTGTAGGCATGTATTCTCGTGTTGTACCTTTGCAAATGTGTCAAAATAATTACAATAAAAAGATTTTCCTGAGATTTAATGGCTGCCTGATTGAATTACTAGCACTAGTGTATGTAACACTGGCCATTCTGTCTTTAACTTAGCATCAGCTTCTCTTGCTAATAAAATCTGAAAGAATATCGCTCGTAAAATGTTATTTATTCGGACTATCTAAACTATTAATGTAATTTCGACGCTTTTATTTCCTGTCTGAGCTCCGCGCGCACGACCGACATCCTGTGCGAACGTAAATATTTAGGTACTATTTGTTTGGTAAATATTGACAGGCGCAGAGGCCAATCAGCAAGCAGACATGGGCGGAGTGATACGCGCGGCGGAAGCTGAGGGAGTGGGTGTGATGCGCACGTATATAAGCGGCGGCGCTGCCGTTTCTCTGTTTTCTCTCCCGAGCTCCGGTACCTTCGCACGCAGTTCTCCCGCGGGAATCATGGCAGTCTAGCGGCTTGCAGCGGCAACAATCGCAGCGGCGAATCCGGCAGTGCAGCGGTCAAGTGCACTGGCTCTATTTGGCAAAATGGCGTAAGTATTTCTCAGCCCTTGACGTTTGATTTAGTATGTCAAGAACTCGTCGAAGTTTTTAAAGGCGGTGCTGTTTGTTAGTAGTAGTTATAACTAGCTTAGCTTGACGTTTAGCAGTATCACAGTGTAGCTTTGTGAAGTGTTTCCGAACTTTGTTTTGATTCTTCCGTCGCGCGGTTTTGTTTTTGTTTTTTTTGTCGCGGAGCAGCAACGTGGCACCTTAAAATGGCGCGCGCGCTGAGCGCTGGAAATGGCGCGAGGGACACCTTCATCTCGCGCAGGAACCAGGGGGCGGGGCTTCCCGTGCTTATGACCATATTAGGAAACGTTATCTGGAAGGGCGGGGAAATTCCTGTTAAAGGTCAGCTAGTCATTGGGTTAATAATAGTTAGGAGGAGGTGTTTAAGTTGGTCAGTATTAGTGATGGGAAGTGAAGGTGTGTGTGGGCAGCTCGAGTTCCTCCCAGGTGGCCGTTTTAACTGGAACGGCCCTCGGCGGTTTAGAGACTGGATAAACTGGTTTAAAGTGCTGGTAAACTGGTTATCCAGTGCAAGGAAGTGAATTAAAATCCAGTTTTTGTTCCGTTAAATCTTCCCTCTGGCAAGGGTTGGGAATCGATAACTGATTCCTTTTTGTTCTTAGAAAAAATTAAAAATATGATTTGCAGCAACGCTATAATAGAATATGCATAGGAGTGATTTGTTGTAAAGTGTGTGAATGTGAACGCATGCCCCAATAAAGACTGTTTTTGTTTGATTGTTGCTTAGAATTTCCAGCCGCAGTTAGTTTTCAGTAGTGTTCTCAGACTAGAACTTCAAAACATCAGTTAGGATCACTCGAAGAGTCTCATTTCCGCTTTCGTTCTTTGGTTAGGTGTGAGCGTCTCGTTCCTTCTCTGTAATGTCATCTCGCCTGCTTTCTTTCAGGTCCCTTGTGGCATCCACCCACAGCTCTGCTGCTGTAGACAGCATAACCACACCGTTCACCAGCTCACCAGAACCCCTGACCCGCTCCGCTTCGCCTCTGACCCTCTGCCATGTCTGTGGTGTCTCAGATGAGTCTGGAGGACGTGGGGGCCCTGATCCTGGGGCCCTCATCTCTGATGGCTGACCCCTTTGGGCCCCTTCTGGACAAAGATGAGGAGAGCACTCTGTCGGAGGGGTCATCGTCGCCCCTCTCCTCTTCCTCCTCTCTCTCGCCCCTCTCTCCCTCTCGTCACGCTTCTGTAGGGTGCAAGTCAGAGCTGCTGGCGCTCTCCTGGCCGTCGCAAACCGAGCCCGAGCAGAGCAAAGGTGACACTTTACAGACGCATTTGCACTGGAAGCTCAATGCGTCACACGCATTTGCACTGAAAACTCAATGCGTCACACGCATTTTCACTGGAAACTCAATGCGTCACACTCATTTGCACTGAAAACTCAATGCGTCACACTCATTTGCACTGAAAACTCAATGCGTCACACTCATTTGCACTGAAAACTCAATGCGTCACACTCATTTGCACTGAAAACTCAATGCGTCACACTCATTTGCACTGAAAACTCAATGCGTCACACTCATTTGCACTGAAAACTCAATGCGTCACACTCATTTGCACTGAAAACTCAATGCGTCACACTCATTTGCACTGAAAACTCAATGCATCACACGTATTTTCACTGGAAACTCAATGCATCACACTCATTTGCACTGAAAACTCAATGCATCACACGTATTTTCACTGGAAACTCAATGCATCACACTCATGGACAGATTTGTGATTGCTTTTCGTACGGCTCAGTTGAATGGCACCTGGGTTATTAAAGTTCATTAAATGTAAAAAAAAAACTTTTTATTTTAACTTGATGTACTAAAATCAAAACTGAAATAAGTCAATAAAAATTATATAGGCAAATAAAAAAAAAAGCAAAAGCCCAACTAAATTACTAAAACGGATTCTAAAATAACCCTAAATGGAACCATTAGTAAAACCAAATGCACTATAATGTGTTGCATATTATTTTTCAGATAATTACTAGCACTTTGTAGGTGAACACTGAATGGAAGCAGAGTTGTTGTGTATATATAAACCAAAATAATAAACTTTTTCGTTGCATGAAATAAACATTAACCGGAATAAAATGTAAAAAAGAATATAACTTAAACTTGTTGTATGTATTTACTTTAAGTTGATGTGCTAAACTAAAACTGAACAATTTATAAACTATAGTGACAAACTAATAGAATTGGCAAAACTAAATGTGACCCTGTCTGTGAAATCCAGGCTAAAGTCTCAATCTAATTATGAGATAACCATCAAAGTTTGATTTCAACCATTAATTTCACTATGATTTCAATCTTTGACATGGCCTTACTCAGTCAATATTAAAGATATAAAGGTTAGATTTTCATAGAGTATCTTTATGAAGGATGATTTTATGTAGAAAACAGTAAATCACCAAAAAATGACTTTAGCTGGGTTTCCACAGGCAGGGTCACAAATTACAAAAGCTAAGTAAAATTGATGTGAAAATTGAAAATATAAAAAATATATTGATAAACACTATAATAGTCCCAGATGAAAATGAGTGTTTTCAGATTAGTTGGGCTGCAGTGTTTACACGTTTAAGGGAGTTTCCCTCTTCTAGTAGCTAGTAGTTTATCTATACACAGAATTTATACCATTTAAAATGAGTCGTCTTTACTAAAGTCTTGTCTGTTTCCTCCAGCAGGCGGTGTGTTTTCTGGCATGGATTGGATGACGGAGAAGTTAGACCTGAATGACTTTGACCTGGATTCTCTCATCGGATCATGTGATTCAGACGAGCCTCCCGGTTCTCCAGAAGAGCTGCTGGCTTGCCTGGACACCGACATGGATCTGGACCTGGATTCACTCCCGTTCGGCTCAACAGAGCTGGGCCTGGCGCTGACCTTTGACCTTCCCCTCCCGGAGCCGGTGCAGGAGCCTGTGGAGATGAAGTCTGAGCCTCCGTCTCCGGATCCGAGCTTTACGCTGGAGCTGGGCAGCGAGGTGTCTGTGCTCCTGCTCGCTCCACCCCACATGACTCCCACAGAGGAGGCGAGAGGCAGCGATTCATCCGACAGCGACAGCGGGATCTCCGTCTCCGGATCAGATCCCGAACCCTCGCCGAAGCCCGCGGGCTCCTCCAGAACCAAACCCTATTCCAGACCCGAGCCGGGCGCCGGTGCTCCTAAAGTGGTGGTGGAGAAGAAGCTGAAGAAGATGGAGCAGAACAAAACGGCCGCGACGCGCTACCGGCAGAAGAAACGCACCGAGCAGGAGACGCTGAGCTCCGAGTGCGCCGAGCTGGAGACGAGAAACCACCAGCTCCAGGAGAAAGCCGAGTCCATCAGTCGAGAGATCCGGTATCTGAAGGATCTCATGGAGGAGGTTCGGGCTTCCAAACACCGCAGGAGCAAAGCCAAAGCCCAGGATGCCATCTGCTCTGGTTAGGGTTTGATACTTCCCTCGCCGTCACCTTCCTCTGTCCTTCTCTGGTGCTTCTGATCCGCTGGAGATCATCCGCACTAAACCCATTCCCTCGTTTTCCCTCGAGTCGTTTCATGTCCAGAAAGGGGCTCATCATCAGTCAGTTGTTACACTGAATCTAGTGCTTGTAAATAGGCTTCACTTGTGCTGTTTAAACTGGCTAAACATGCTAGATCTG